TCTCCTCCAAGGGATCATAAAAGAATAGCCATATATGGAAATGAGTACAATTCTACAAAGATCCCTCCCTTATTTCCAGGTTTAATTTCTCTGCTGGGATTCATCTTTTGCCCATCTTGCCAACCTAAATCCAAAAGCAACAATTATTACATGCTATAGAAAAAGTCCTAATTACAAATTACAACTGGCAATCCATTTTGACAAAAAAAGAAAAAAAAAAGAAAACTCATATACAGACCCAAAATGAGAAATCACCCAAAGAAAAACCATACTTACATTAAGCCTATCTTTTCCAAGTGGGTCCCTTAAACATTCGGTATTAGATCCATTTATTTTTGTGTATATGAAAATGAACAAATAAAATGCTAACACTTGGACAAGTGAATGTACATAAACAAAGTTGTCTGCTTATAAATACAGGGGTCAGATAGTTGCAATGAAGCAAAAACATTTTTGATAGTTGAGAGATTAAAAGAGAAAAGAAGAAAATGGCTCGATTTGTTTGCCTTTTATCTTTTCTCTTTCTCCTTGCCTTTTCATCTGTACTTCAGATTAATCAGGTATAATATCTCTCAAATTTTTACTTGTCAGCTATTGATCTTTTTCTCTTTTTTTCAATTTTTTTCTCAGGTATAATACCCAGCATTATAATGAATTTAATTCCTTGATCATTTGATGATAATCTTTTCCTGCAAGAAAAAATAATAACAAATAACCGCTGAAAATTTTATTTATGGGAATAATTTTCGTGCCGTCCGTTCTTTGTCTTTATTCACGTCCAATCTTCAGACAAGTCGGCATACAATAATTTTTAGAGACTTGCTTTGGTGCTCCTAAAATATAATTTTATTTAATTTTTATTTAAAGGGCAAAATTGTAATTTTCAATCAATATTTCTTACCCCCGGACGAGACCCGTGTCTTCAACCTCCGCTTCCTGCTCTCCGAATCCTCCAGCCTCATCAAAGCAACTGCTTCTAGAAACCGCGCCGGCGATCTCGGAGAGCAACCTCGAGGTCGCCGCCGCGAATCTCGCCGCCCTAAAACGCGCGGGGAACCCCCGCGGCGACCCAGACCAAAGGCTGGCCTTAATGATGATCTCCGCTCTAATCGCGCGCATAAACTCGCCGCCGTCGGCGACCCTAACCCCGCCGGCTTCGGAGCTCTGCAGTCTAGAACACCAAACAGCGATCCAGATGCTCTACGACGCTTCCCCCATCTTCAAACTCGGCCACGTGGCGGCCAACTTCGCGATCCTCGACGCGGCAAGAGATCACCCGAAGATCCACATCGTCGACTTTGATCTAAGCCAAGGAGTCCAGTACGCTCTGTTGATTAACGCCGTCTCTGAGAGATCCCGTCACCGCTCGCTCACGCTGCTAGTGAACATAACTGCCGTTTGCGACCCAACTATGCCGTACAATACTCCGAGCACTGTCAACAACCTGAAGATCATCGGCGACAAGATCGTCACGCTGGCAAGCCGGTTCGGAGTCCCGGTCCGGTTCAGCGTTTTGAACCGGAGGGCGTCGGAGCTCGAGCGGGCGTCGCTCGGGTGCGAGGCCGGCGAGTGCTTGGCGGTGTATCTGTCGTTCGCTCTGTCGAGGATCGCCGACGAGAGCGCTTCCCCGGCGAACCCGCGGGACCAATTGCTCCGGCGAGTGAAGTCTCTCGGACCCGACATTGTCAAGCTCGTCGAGCAGGAGATGAACGCCAACACCGCGCCGTTCGCGACCCGGTTCGGTGAAGCCTGCGGTCACTACGGCTCGGTCCTCGATTCGCTCGACGCGACGATGAGCCGGGACGATCGGGGCCGGTTCAGGATCGAGCGTGCGCTCGGTCGAAAGGCTAGCAACTCTGAGAAGGGACACACCTTTGTCTTGAAGGCAAGCTGCAGTGGCTAAGCCAGATGGTCCTGCTCCGATGATAATGGGTCCAGGAACCCAAAATTGCTTCGGAGTTGATTCCACATATCCAGCAAGTGGCTCATTAAGATTGAATTCTAGAGCTGCGCACGGGTTTTCGTTTGTAGATTAGTTGGCTATAGAGGAGTAAGCAACTGATGACTTGGAATCAAGGAATATTGTAGGAATTGCAAGTGGGTTTCAGATTCTGAGGCTAAAATTCTATTGAAAACTGTGGTGGCTTCAGTTGTGATTGCAGGAAATAAAGGCGGCATGAGGAAGACGGTGGCAAATAATCTAAATATAACTGCCCCTCAAAACCAAATAAATTACCAATTTGGGTGTGGTACTTCACGAAACCGATCATAGCGTTTTATGGGGAAATAAGAGAGCGACAATATCGGACACTAATTACCATTTGTGCCATGGGTACTCCAAAATTGATTTTTTGGAGCACCGAAGTTGTCAGCTAATTTTTATTTGTAAGAAAATATTTACTAAACATATCAGTAGAATTAACGTGAACTACTTACATTTTAGTGTTTAACGAATACTGAAAACGCAAACGCAGGATAAAATATTGTGCAATATTTCAAGAGAGAAAATTTTATTATAGAAAATAACTAATCAATTTCCTAACGGGTGCAGGCTATCACTACGCCGTCCAAAACTGCTATACTTCGGCCAGTAAGTGATTGCAATAGAATTTTATCAAATACTTATTTAAATTTTTTTTTGTCACAATTACTAACTTTGATAAGTTTCATGCCTATTTCCAAAAATGTCTAGGCTGGCGGGGAAGGATCTCTTCGTCCAAAAGGTATGCCTCCTTATTCTCATTCTTCTGATGAATTAGCTGAGCTAGATTATTTTCGGTTGTGTCGAAGAAACCGATACTGTAGATTCGTTAAAATTTGGATTTTCAAATTGCAAATCTGTACAATTATGTGCAATAACACATCAATTTATCTCTGTTAAAGTAAGAGAGAGAGAGAGAATCTTGGGTAAATTTCCCTTAAATTGAATATTGAGTGTGCACATATATTTATACAAGTAGAGGAGTGTGAGGTTTGTTCTCCCAAGCAATGTGGGACTAAAACCCACTACAATACACTATTATCAACAGCCCCCTTCAAACTCATGTTGGATCAAACAAAGTGAGTTTGCGTACAAGAAACTGGAACCGATGAACAGGTAAGGCCTTTGTGAAGAAATCTGCAAGCTCGTCAGCGGATGAAACATGAGGAAGTAGAATTGTCTTGTCCTTGATAACTTGGTGACGGACAAAATGAGCGTCGATCTCAATATGTTTGGTCCTTTCATGAAATACTGGATTATTAGCAATCTGGATGGCACTCTTATTATCACAGTAGAGAGGAGTAGGAGTCGTAACAGAAATACCGAAATCACTGAGAAGGCGACGAAGATGAATAATCTCTTTAGCTGTTGTGGACATTGCACGATACTCTGCCTCAGTACTGGAAAGAGCAATAACATCTTGTTTCTTACTTCGCCAGGAAATAAGGGAATCACCAAGAAATATACAATAACCTGTGGTAGACTTTCTGGTAGTTGGATCACCAGCCCAATCAGCATCAGAATATGCACAAAGCTCTAACTTAGATGTAGCAGGAAACAAAAGTGAGCGAGTGCTAGTACCCCGGAGGTACCGAAGAATCCGTAATAAGACAGCATAGTGTACAGAACGTGGGGCACTAACAAATTGACTGACAATACCAACAGCATGAGAGATATCTGGTCGAGAGATGCACAAATAGACCAACTGACCAACAAGATGTCGATATCGGGTAGGATCAGATAGAGGCTCACCGTCAGTAGAGCAAAGTTTGACATTCTGCTGGAGTGGAGTATCGACAGTTGTATTATCAGTTAACTCAGCTTGATTTAGAATATCTGAGAGATACTTCTGTTGAGACAGTAATACACCCCGCGGGCCTTGAGAAATTTCTAGACCAAGGAAATACCGAAGAGATCCAAGATCCTTCATGTGGAACTGTTGTTGCAACTGAGATTTTGCGTATTGTATACCTGTCATATCATCACCTGTAATGATCATATCATCTACATAGATGAGTAATAAAACCCTGCCACGCGATGTAGTGCGAACAAACAGAGAAGCATCTTGATGACTTTCTATAAAGCCCGCTTTGAGCACAACATCGCGAAAACACTCAAACCAAGCGCGGGGTGCCTGTTTGAGACCATAAACAGCACGACGAAGGAGACATACATGTCCCGGAGGAATATTTGACCCTGGAGGCGGTTGCATATATACGGTCTCTGATAAAGAGCCATGAAGAAAAGCATTTTTGACATCCATCTGGTATAAGGGCCAACGATGAGCAGCAGCGACCGCAAGGAGAGTACGCACAGTGGGCATCTGAGCAACAGGAGCAAAGGTCTCCTCATAATCAATACCTTGTTGCTGAGTAAAACCTCTAGCCACTAAACGAGCTTTTCGACGTTCAATGGTGCCATCAGGACGAAACTTGACCTTATAAACCCATTTACTGCCAACAAGAGAGATCCCAGGAGGACAGGGAACAATATCCCAGGTATGAGTTTGCTGAAATGCTTGAAATTCCTCAGCCATAGCTTGTCGCCACTCTGGAATTTGAACTGCCTCTTGGAAGGACTTTGGCTCAACAATAGTATGAATGGCAGCAAGAAAGTTATGAAAGATAGGTGAATAAGAAGTAACAGAAGCATACCGGGCAGGCATGACATGTGGGCGTTTGCCTCGACGAAGAGCAAGAGGAACCTCAGGCGGGGGAGATGCTGGCGCAGGTGCATGAAGATCAACAGTATTTTCTGGAGTGAGAGTTGTGTCCACAGGATATGGATTAGATGGTGTAAGAGAAGACTCAGGTGAGGAAGAGTCAACAGAAGGAGAGGGAGAGATGTCAGGGAGATCTCGAAAGGAAAATTGAGGTGAAGAAGTGGGTGATGCAGTGGACGGGGAAGCATGATCGGTAGAGTGGAGGAAATTAAAGTCATCAGAAGTAGAATAATATGGAGAATCCTCTTCGAACTGAACATGACGAGATATATGAACTCGACGAGTTGCGGGATCATAACAACGATAACCTCGATGTTCTGAACTAATTCCTAAATAAACACAAGAAACTGCTCTGGGAGACAATTTATCACGTTCGTGAGATGGCAGAAAAACAAAACATCGACAACCAAAAACGCGAACTAGATCATAACGGGGAGGATGAGTATAAACACGACTATAAGGAGTAGCACCGGAAAGAGAGCTAGATGGAGTGATATTAATGGCATGAGTCGCGGTGAGAATAGCCTCAGCCCAGAAACGACGAGGAACAGAGTAAGAAATGAGCATTGATCGGGCAGTATCGAGGATATGACGATGTTTGCGTTCAGCAACACCATTTTGCTCATGAGTGTAGGGACATGACTGTTGAAAGATAGTCCCATGAGAGGACATGATAGAGCGCATGGCAGAGGATAGGTACTCTTTGGCACAATCAGAACGAAAAACTTTAATACGAGATTGCCATTGAGTGAAAATCATAGCAGTGAAGGCTTGATAAGCAGTAAGTACGTCAGAGCGATTCTTAAGTAGGTAAACCCATGTAAAACGAGAGAAATCGTCGATAAAACTAACATAATATAAGTAGCCAGATGAAGAAGGCAAAGGAGCTGGCCCCCAAATATCAGAATGTACTAAATCAAATAAGGAAGTGGATACAGATGTACTCATTTTAAATGGTAAAGCAGTGAATTTAGCCAATTTGCAACCAGCACATGACTCAATACTAGAACTAGATGATACAGGACCAAGTACTCCAGACTGAATAAGACTCTCCAGCCTTTTATTACACACATGACCAAGTCGTCTATGCCATAAATTGGCAGGAAGCGAGGTAGAGGGTTTTGACGAACAAAGAGAAGCAACAAGAGAACGTGGACGTATGGACTCTGGAAGGTGAAGATATTCCAGAAAATACAGTTTGTGCCTCCTACGACCCGCCCCAACCGTCTTGCCCGTCTGTGGATCCTGCACAATACAAGTATCAGAAGAAAATGAGACAAACAGGCCCGCCATGCATAAAGAGCTAATAGAAATTAAATTCAAGCACAATTGTGGAGCCACATAGACGGGACCAAGTGTTAGACGACCAGATGGATCATGGTGGCTCGGCCTTGGCCGAGCCACCTTGAGGTGGCTCGGCTTTGGCCGAGCCCCCGCGGGCGGTGTTTTCCGACTTTTTCGAGTCGTTTTCCGTTGTCTCGTTTGTTCGTGTTTCGGTTGACCTGAGACTCTGATTTGATGATCTGATTTGGCAGTAAGTTGGATCCCTGATTTGGCAGTAAATCCGCTTCTGAGTTCGAGTCCGAAACTGATCTTGATTCGATCGTGATTCGTCCGAGTCCGCTCTCGGTTGGATGACTCGTTGATTCCTCAACTCATTAGCTTGATTCTGCACGCGGGTGGATTCATTCCGTCGCTTCCGTGCGATTCGTCGATCTCGTCGCCTCGTTGGCTCGTCGGTTTGTGCCGAGCTATGCTAGGGGACCTATAAGCAATTTTATATGCCTACAGGCAGATCAATCATCAGGAAATCTGCAAAGAGCTCTCTCCCGCAGATGACTACAGGGCATGATTCATAACCACTGGATGCTACTAAGACACCACTGCCAGTATTGATTTTCCAGCCTGTGGTCAGAGGAGTTATAGGAAGAGAGTGGGCGGTCGCAAATCGACGAGATAAGAAACAATGGGAAGCCCCAGAATCAAAGAGTGATAAAGCCGGAACAGAGGAAACAAGGACCTTGCCTATTACAGGAGGAGGTAAATGCGACTAAACTTAGTACTCATAACAATTCCTATCATGCTATCATCAGATAATGCTAAATAAGGAAAAATTCATATGCAAGTAAAACTAAGAATGAACAATTCTTACCAGTGATAACTTGATCGTTCGCCTCAGCTTCTACGGCTGACATCATGAACATCTGTCGCTGAGGTTGCTGCCTGTGTGCTTCCTGATAAAGATGCTGCTGTGGAGGGAGAGGTCCAGTTCGAGGGTAGGATCTGTGCTGAGGCTATGTTGCTGGTGCAGGTCGAGGTGGAGCTGGAGGAGCTGCTCGAACTGGAGGTGGGGGCAAACGAGCCTGCTGTTTCTGAGGACAATCTCGACTCATATGGTCGGGGGACCCACAGCTGAAGCATAGATGAAGACGCCTGGGGCAATCCTGCTGAGTATGACCAGGGTAGCTACAATAGGAACACCTCACCGAAGGCTGGCCGCGAGTCTGCACTCCCGGGCGCTGATAAGGGTGACTCTGATGAAATGGCTGACGCTGAGAATGCTGCTGCCTCTGCGGGTTCGACGCTCGACATTCCGGGTCGGAGCTGCTGGTGTCCTACTCTGAATCAAGTGTGAATCTTCTGGTTCCTTCTGCATGCTTTCAATCTCGCGTGCTGCATCCAATACGGCGTCGTGAGTCGCGAGAGCCCTACCAGCCAAAGCCAATCTGATATACTTATCCAGACCTTTCTGGAACTGGTGCTTCCTGATAGTGGGGTCTGTAACCAAGTGGGGAGCATATCGGCTCAAAGAAGAAAATTTGGCCTCATACTCGTCGACTGATCGACCCCCTTGCTTGAGCTCGACAAATTTACGCAGGAGCTCATCTCGGGCCGATTGAGGAAAATACTTCCTATTGAAGTGATCCGTGAACGTTTCCCACAGAATCGGCCTCTCCAGGTGTGTCTTCTCAGCAACCCACCAGATTCGAGCCGTATCTGTGAGCTGGACATCCATAAGGTCTACCCACTCTGCAGGAGCAATGAGGATCACCGTAAGGATAGTCTCGGTAACCTTCAGGAACTCTTCTGCTGCTAGAGGTCCTTCGGATCCGGAGAAAGAAGGAGGTCGCATATACCAAAACTCCCTAACACCAGGTTCTGTACGAGGGGGAGGTTGGTGAGGCTCCTGCTGCAAGTGCCCAGCCAAATGCTGCTGATTCGTCGCCAGTCCCTGAATCATTGCCAAAAGTTGGCGTGGGTCCACTTCGGGCGGAGGGACATCACTACTAGACGGGTTACCATTGCTACGTATACCCACCATGGTTCTGAAGGGAAGGCAACAAGGATCAAAATTATTGTAGGAAAAATCAAGTCAAGATCAAAATCGAAATTGGAAAAGGTAGGGACGGAAACAAGATTGGTCAAGATACTGGGATGAGGGCTAAGTATAGTCTCACGGATGAAATATGATATGCGTCTAAATTATTCATTATATTCTCACTGGTAGAAAATCGGGATCGTGACCGGGACTGTGACCAGGACCGTGACCTGCGTGGGCCACCACCAAAACCTGTCACGCCCCGCTTCCCAAAATACCGGGGAATCGGAACGTGAACAAGCCTGCGACGTATTAGATTGAGAAGAAATATACACTATTTTTTTTTCTTTTCTCCTGAATCCAATACGCTAAGCGTCTGGAAATAATACAATGCAAAGGCACATGTCCCCGATCATAGTAGCGAGAATATAATAAACAACACAGACAGAAAATATACATATCACAACTGAAATATCATCCGAGACACAAAGTTTGGGTCAATCATGCCCTTATTACAAACAGTCCAACTAAATTAAGAAAATATATAGTCCGACAAAATAAGAAGGTAGTACTACAAAATAACTAAGTTCCTCGAAAGACTAAAGGATAAGGTACTACATAAGTAATCTAGTGTCCATAAGTGATTACGTAAAAGAAAAGGCTAAGCTTCCGTCTGTTCTTCTGTTCCACCTGGAAGACACTCTGGCTGGGAATACTCCTGCTCTAATGTATCATCATCGTGGACCTGTCCGTCCTCTAAATCTGACGTACACCAGAGAAAACAGGTGTACATCAGGGTGCATGGCACACGGCAAGATCCCACAAGGAAAGTAGAAACGGTCGTATGACCATTGCAAGAACAATAATAATAACAATAGTAATAATCTAAATGAAATCCACCACTAGAATATAATAATCAGAAGAATCCAAAATCGATCGGGTAACGAGGTCATGTAGCTAATGATCAGACTAATCATCCAAGTAACGAGATCATACTACTAGCCATTATATAACAGGTCACTGGTCACATCTCACACAGAGTCAACGCTCCTGTCATCGGATAACTGACTGTTCACAAATCCTCTACGTGCATCCAATCCCGCGAAACGGTTCGGTGAGAGGACTACACGAAATCCGATTTCGGCCTGGTTCGAACTCAAGCAAAACTCGGGTGACAAAACGATTTCACTGACCAAGTGCGAAACGGTTCACTTGGCCCAACAAACTAACCCCAGTGCGAAACGGTTCACTGGTTCTAGTCTGGAAGATACATCAACAGTCTTATCCGACCACATGAACATTAACTTCCCCATCCTAACTCTCTTGTTTTTTTAAGCTAACATATACACAGGTTTCTAAGTCTTAATCAGGACACACCTGTAGGCGTCAAAAAATATTGAGAGATATCCAAACACAGCTCAAAAGGAAGTCATCCAAAATATCAAAAAAGAACACAAGTATAGACTGTCTCGCACGCAGTTATAATACAGTTATCTGATGATTATTTAAAGTCCACGTGGCGGAGTATCAGAAATAGAACGTGTGCTGATGTGGAAAAGCAGTTAAACCACGAAAAAGGTGGTTAAAGGTCGTGGGAGAACTGTTTCAAACACGTATGAACGTGGGTGTAACTGCCCCTTTAGCCGCGGCAGTGTCGACTGCCGCGCTCTTTGGCCGCGACAGTGTCGACTGTCGCGCCCTTTAGCCGCGACAGCATCAGCTGCCGCGCCTAAAGAGACAGTTATTGACCAGCTATTTCTTCAGTTATCGTCTAAGGAGGCTATAAATACCCCCCTATGGCCATCATTGACAGGGGCTGAGCATTTCCAGAGCAGATTAGAGCAGAGAGCCTTGAGTTTTGGTGAATTAGAGCAAGAGAGAGAGTCTTCCTTCTTCACAAACATCCTCAAGAAGCTTTTGGCGATTCCTAGAGATCTAAGCTCTGACTTGATCTTTAGAAGAGTGAACATCTTACATCGATAAGATATTCGCTTCAAATTCTTACTTCGATAAACGAAGGAAGAATCATTAAACCCCTCATCGATTCAATCAGAATCTGTGATTTGGTGGTCCACGAGTCAAAGCGCTCCCGGCACAGGCAAAGATCCCACGCAAGCAGCGATCCAAACAACGATCCTGCGTTTGTTTCTCAAGAGTAATAATTTTCATTTTGTTGTGTAAAAGAGGTCTTATAAAAAGACTATTTCTTTGAATTTATTGTAATTGATCGAAGATATAATGAATTCCACAGCAAGAGCAACTTTCGACGCAAACAAACTGGCGACCACAGTGGGAGCCAACGGTCTCGCTGCCGAGACCGTCATGTCGCAGCCAATCATCAAGATTCCAGTTGAATCCATGGTCGAATACGAATTCGACCAAACCAAGTTTGAGGAATATCTCTCATCATCCTCTTCAAGATCTTCATTGTCTCGCAAGTACAAGAGGATCTCACCATTGAAGAAGACTATGAAGACTCTCGCCCGATTGTTGCTGAGGATTCTACTCACAACCTCTCTGCTCATAATGACTCTTCGCCAAGTAAAGAGTCATTAAATCAAAGCCCACCGGCATTGACGAAAAGAGCTCGTCAGAGACAACGCCAACGCCGCGCTCGTCAAATAGCTAAGGCCTTGGAACAAACCGACGGAGTTCGTTATCATGCGGACTTAGAGTCGAGGAGGCATCGAGTGGTTCAGTTGTCTCAACAACCAATCACTCATATCTCTGCTAAAATAACGACGGAGGAATGGACTATTGTCAAAAGGACTCGTTCGACCCTCAAAGAACGTATACAAAAACATCGTGCAAACACTGCTCATGCCCGAGCTCTCCTACAACAAAGACAAGAAAGGAGGAAGGAAACGGTGACCAAAGAACCACCGAAACTCTGCCAAGTTTGGATTCCAAAGTCTGGACTTATGCAAAATCAGCATTCAGAGCCCGTTAAGACTCCATACCCGCAAAGGGGTGGTTTTAAACGTGCGACTCCTGACATAACCTTGGATCGCTCAAAGACAAAAATAAATTGTCCTGAGAATGCCAACAAGGTTTTACACCCCCAGAAGAAGACGCATTCACCAAATGATATCGTCATACCTGGGAGGTCATGCCAACAGACGATACGATTTTTTGGCAATCATACCGATGAATCGTATTATCAAGTTGGGGTTGTGAATAATTTTCGAAAGAGAGTTATTCGAGAAATAAACTCTCATTGTTCCTGTGCGCGACTCGTTAAAGCAGCATTATCAGAATGTGACTGTTTCAAACGAGAAGTCATCCCACGAAAAATCTCTGTATTATCGAAGCCTAAGCCGAGACATTTCCGCAAAAGAAAATCAGCTGCCCAAGATGATGAATTCCCTGAAGTCACCATCAACGTGGCTGATAGAAGAAAGTCTAAACAGCATTCAAGTGACTCAAATCCCGACTTTTCCCCGAAAGGAAAAGTCAATCCAAGAATTGCTCAAAGGATGTCTCGACTCCAATTAGGAGCCATCAGACGCAGAGATTACAAAAGAATGCAAGAAGGAATGTCCTCGGAGGATGAATTCTCGGACACTTGTTCTGCAATCGCTTCTGATGATACAATGTCTAGCACAGGACAAATCAGAGAAGTATTCACAATCACTGCTGATCAGTTCACTCAAATACTTCAGGAAGCTCTAGCCAAACAACGTGAAGAAATTAGAGCTGAAGTGAAGACAGAAATGAAGTTGGCTATCCAACAAATGAGAGAACTGTTAACTCAACAGCCTCAACCTCCTGAGTCCAATCAGCGATTTGAATCCAGCCACCACACTCGGAATGTTGTAGATGACAGTGATCCAGAGGTGGATGAAGTCATTATGGCTGATACACCTCCCAATGGCAATAACGCTGGGGGTGGTTTAACGGATCCTCCCAATAACGATATTGGGGGTGGTTCAATAGCACCTCTCACTGGGGGTGGTCCAATTCTTGAAGACAAAATCAATGCTTTGATGACGGCTCAAGAAGTTAAGAAGACGGGTATTCCATGTCCCTATCCAAGGGAATGGGATTCAATACCGTACCCGGCGAAGTTCAATCTGATTAACTTCACACCGTTTGAG